ACTTATTCAATTTTTTGTTATTATTATTATTACACTGAAAAAAAATTCGTCAGAATGTGCTTTTTACTTTAGGCAATTTTTGCCTAAGAACAAAAGCAATACACGTAAAGCAATTGTTTCTTTAGAAAAAAGCAATTTTTGCCTTTAAAAAAGATAATTTCCTTAGTTAAAATTTTTGGCTTTAAAAAAAGGCAAAAATTACTTTTTTTTAAAGAAACAATTGCTTTGCGTGTATTGCTTTTGCTTTTAGGCAAAAGTTGACTGAGTAAAAAGCACATTTTTTCAAATTTTTTTTCAGTGTATAGTTATTAATGTTTTTCTTATTTGCATAATTATAAAACCCACGGTAATTAAATATACAGAATTAAATAAAATTTAACAATTACAAATTTTTTAATTTTTAAATTAAAAAAGTAACATCTAAAAGTATTTAAAAATCAGAAATTATATTCTTTCTAATAAATTTAAATAACTAAGACAGAGGTTAAGATGGGTTTTAAAAGTTTGGACCTGGGTGTTGATGGGGAATCCCAACCGTCCTAGTGGGGGGCTGGCGCTGATCGATTTAAAGATCAACGGATTATTATATCTTCCTCTAAAGGGTTTTTCGCCATTCAAACGATTCAAACAATACAATTGTCTCTCGTCTAAAGTATTTGTTTTTTCTTGTAATCATATTTTACTCGATATAATGACAATGTTACAATACATTATAATTTTTGAGTTGGTATATAGTTTGAAAAGTTTATTCGTTTCGTCAACCGCAGGTCCTTAGTGGCCTTAAATTTTTCTTTTTATATACAAACATATTTAGCAATACACAAGATTCTAGAAAACTGTATTTTTTAATATTGAAAAAATTTGAAAATTTGAAAAAAACTACTTTTGAATAATATATTTATTTAATTTTTTTAATTTTATGTATTTAATTTTATATTTAATGTTCTTAAAAATTTCCTTTAAGGGCATGCAACAGGTCATCATAGACAATTTTTAATATTTGTTGTCAATAGTTAGTTGATCCAATTTGACATAAATTTAATAAAACATACAAACTCGTTTACCATAATTCGAATTTTGACGTAAAAATCATTTGACAGGAATTTTATTTAACATAACAAATATTAGACATAAATTTTAATTGATCTAAGTTAATTATAATTTGTGAATTAATTTTTAAGTGTCATTTAACATAAGAGACATTTAACATAATTCTTTTTTGACATAAAATTTACTTGACGCACCTGACATAAATTTTATTTGACATTCAATTTCATTTGATATAATATTCAGTTCATATCAAGTTTATTTTACATAAACGTCATTTAACGTAATTCTCTTTTAACATATTCACTCGCCATTTTAATTTTACATAAAAACGCGTTCAGCATATTTTAGCATTTGACATGAATTTCATTTATCATAAAAAAAATTGACATAAATTTCAAATGCTCTGTTTTATCTTACAAAAAATTCATTTGACAAAAAATTAGTTTAAGACAAATGTCATTTGTCATAAATGACATTTAATATAATTATCATTTGACATAAAAGTCACACTTGACACAAATTATAATTTGACATTAAATTTCATTTGACATAAAATTCATTTGACAAAGAATTCGTTTAAGATAAATATAATTTAACATAATTTGCATTTGACATAAAAGTGACAATTGACATAAATTATAATTTGACATTAAATTTCTTTTGACATAAAATTCCTTTGACATTACAATTCATTTGTCATAAAATTCATTTGACAAAAAATTCGTTTAGGATAAATGTCATTTGACATAAAACAGACATTTAACATAATTCACATTTGACATAATAGAATTCACTTGACATTTTTACTTTTTCATAGAAACTCGATTAGCAAAATTCAAATTTAATGCAAAAATCATTTGACATAAATTTCAATTGTATTAAGTTTCATTTGACGAAAAACTCTTTTAACCTAAATAATGTCATTTGACGCATAAGAGACATTTAACATAATTTTCATTTGACATAAGAGTGAATTGATCTAAATTTCATTTGACATAAAATTTATTTAACCTTAAAATTCATTTGCCATAAGATTCATTTGACATAAAATTTATTTGACATTATTTATTGCATTAATAAATAAATGAAATAATAAATTATAAATAAACGAAGAATAATTTAGAAAAAAAATTTTAAAGAAAATAATATTGAAGCAATAATTATATCTAATATCAATCAATATACAATCGCCCATTTTATTTTTATTTTTGGTTTTCCTGTTAGTCTAGACATTGACCATTTGGGATTCTTATCCGATTTTCTCTAATGAATGGGGTCTAGTACCCCCTGCGGTTTGGTACAGGTGTATTCATAAAAGTTTGTGTGAAAAAGAGATTGAACTCTGATTATCTTATGATTATTTGACAATAGGTAGATTAACTCTTCAAGTGGGTTGTTTCACACTCATTATAATTTCATAAATCAATAAAATAAGGAATGAGATTTTAGATTTTGAATATAATCCTATTAGTTTTGAAAAGTTGAGAATTGAAATGAACAGTTAACGGATTTGCTTGTCCTCACAAAAGTATGGTAAAGTGTTAAAAATTAATTTCCCTCGGCAAACAAAATTACATTTTTCTTTATTCTCATTTTTGTCCAGTTACTTAGAAAAATAAACATACAAAAACCTTGCAGGGTATTTTTCCAAACCTGTTCGTATATAATTACAGCCTTCAATAATTCTATTATAAGAGTTTTAAGTTTTATTATTATTAATTTTCCAATTTTTATTTTAAATTATTATTTTATTATTATTATATATTGTTAAAAATATAATAATATATTGTGAAAATGAAACTAAAAATGACAATTTAGCAAATAAAACTAAAAGTGAAATTGATAATATTATGGTCACAGTAAAACTAAAAAATTTTGTAAAAGTTGAGTTAGAATGTTTCTATAAAAATAACGAGATCTAGTAAACCTAAAATTTAAATTTAAAGTAAAAATGTCAATTTGTTAAAATGAAAGTGAGAATGAAACTAAAAATAAAAATTTGTCAAACTGATTTGTGAAAATGAAAAAAAGTAGAAATTAATAAGAATGACAATTTAGCAAATTGAAAATTAAAATTGATGATTAATCATAGTAAAATTAAAAATTTGTCACAAAAAAAGTGAGAATAAATCCGATAGCAACGAGATCTTGTAAACTTAATGTAAAATTGAAAGTAAAAATAATAATTTGCTAAAATTTAAAGTAAGTTACAATTTGTCAAAATGAGAGTGAAAGTAAATAAAGTACAAATCACAATTTAGTACAAAGAAAGTAAAAATAAGTAAAATTTAAAGTAAAAATGTCAATTTGTTAAAATTAAAGTGAAAATAAAACTTGTAAAAATGAAAGTGAAAATAAAAATAAAAATGTCAATTTGTTAAAATGAGAGTGAAAATGAAACTTGTCAAAATGAAAGTGAAAATAAAACTAAAAATGTCAATTTGTTAAAATGAGAGTGAAAATGAAACTTGTCAAAATGAAAGTGAAAAAAAACTAAAAATGTCAAAATTTAAGAGAGTATGAATCTAAAAATAATGAGATTTGGTAAACGTAAAATTAAAATTGAAAGTAAAAATGTCAATTTGTTAAAATGAAAGTGAGAATGAAACTAAAAATTACAATCTTTAAAAATAAGAGTGAAAATGAAAGTAAAAATGCCAATGCAGCAGAATGAAAGTAAAATTAAAAGTAAAAATGACAATTTGTCAAAGTGAAAGTGAGAATGAATCTAAATACAACAATCTGTCAAAATGAGAGTGAAAATCATAATCTAGAAAAGAAAAGTAAAATTGGTTCTTCAAAGTTAAAGTATAAGAGTAAAAGTGAAAAATTTTCAATGTAAATGTAAAATTAAAAATGTAAAAGAGAATGAAAGTAAAATTTTTGGATTTCATTTTCACATTCTTTTTTACCACTTTTTTCTTTGAATTTGATTTTCAAATTTAAGATTCATTTTAACTTTATTTATTGTCATATATTCTTAAAAAAATGAAAATGTAAATCCAAAATGAAGATTAAAATGAAATTCAAAGCGAAATTGATATATTAATTCTATGTGAAAATAAAATGAAAAGCAAAAATATAATGTTAAATGAAAATGAAATTCAAATTGAAATGAAAAGGAAACCCGAAGTTAAACTAAAATTGTAGATCCAAAGTGAAGATTAATATGAAATTCAGAGTAAAAATGAAATTAATTGTAAGTGAATAAAATAAAATGTGAAAATGAAAAGCAAAAATATAATGTTAAATGAAAAGTGAAAATGAAAAGAAAAAATATAATGTTATAAATGAAAAGTGAAAATGAAAAGAAAAAATATAATGTTAAATGAAAAGTGAAAATGAAAAGCAAAAATATAATGTTAAATGAAAATGAAATTCAAATTGAAATGAAAAGGAAACCCGAAGTGAAAATAAAATAATTGTAGATCCAAAGTGAAGATTAAAATGAAATTCAGAGTAAAAATGAAATTAATTCTAAGTGAATAAAATAAAATGTGAAAATGAAAAGCAAAAATATAATGTTATATGAAAAGTGAAAATGAAAAGAAAAAATATAATGTTAAATGAAAAGTGAAAATGAAAAGCAAAAATATAATGTTATATGAAAAGTGAAAATGAAAAGAAAAAATATAATGTTAAATGAAAAGTGAAAATGAAAAGCAAAAATAAAATGTTAAATAAAAAATGAAAAGCAAAAATAATGTTAAATGTAAATAAAAATGAATGAGTAAAGGAAAGTTTTTATGAGAACAAAGAAATAACTATAATTTCATCGTCAAAATTCAAACGACATTAATGCAAAAATCATGAAAAGTATATGTTTAATTTTTACAATAAGTTATTTAATTAACATTCGAATGATTTTTGTTGTGAACAATAATTTTTATCGTTTTTTTGTCGTCAATATTTGTCAATTTTAATAGTTCGGTCACCATATTTGTATTCAGTTTATTCGTCACGACTTCGGCTATCATCGAGCGTTGTCGGCAAAAGAAATGAGAGAGTCTAACGTTACAGCCAATAGGGTTGAGAGAAATAGTGTGATAATTAACCCCCACTATGATGTAATTAAGTGGTGGGGAAAATTTTTGCCAATTTGAAATTACTGGTCATTAACGAAAGTGTCATTCGTTCGACTGCACTTGTGGTTGTTGGGAAATCCTTGAAATCCTTCAGGATTTTGAATACTTTTAATGTATTATTGAGTATTTTATTTTTTAAACAACAAAAAAAAGAAGAAAACAACAAAACAAACAAGAAAAAGAAGCAATCAACAAGAAAAAGAAGCAACAACAAAAAAAAAAAGAAAAAAACAAGAAATGGAGGAAATCGGCAAGGTAAGAACAATGTTTTTTTATTAACTAAAATATTTTACTGTCACTCATACATTTTTTTTGCTGTTAGAATATTTTAATTTATTTTCCTTATTTCAAACTGCAATATTAAAAAAAAAATTAATTAAATTAATTAAACAATTTTTCTAAACTAAATTAAAATTTCATTTTTAGCGATAAATTTATTATTTTTTCTGTTTATTATTTTGTTAAAAGTTTTATTCAAAATTATTGTTTATTGATGATATTAACTATTTTGATTCAAATTATGATTTATTTTATTTATTCTTATTCGAAATTATTATTTTTTATATTTAAAAATATTTATTTTATTTTTTGTAATTTTTTTCATAATTATAATGTATTTTTACTGTTTATTGTTATTTAAAATTATTATTTACTTTTATTTATAAACATTATTTGTTGTTTTATTTTTTACTTTGATTAAAAATTTTAAAGTGAAACTACATATTTTTGTGAAAAGAAAAAATTGAATAAAAAGGTTGAAAATTTATTTTCAACAGTTAAAAAAAATTATGTATGGAAAATTTTCAATTTATTCATTTTAAATAACGAAAAATTGAATAAAATATTTGGAAATTTATTTTTAACAATTAACAAAAATTTATAATTTAGAAATTTTCCATTTATTTATTTTAAATTATTTATTTATTTATTTCATTTAAAATATGTACTATTTTTAACTTATGTGGAAAATAAATTATCAAAATTTCCATTTACACTAAATTTTAAACTATTTAAAATTAAATTTCATTTAATTCAAAATTTCAAGTGATATAAATTTTTGAAGCTGTATCAGACAATTTAAAAAGTTCGAGTGTTCGAACTAAAAAAATTAATTGAAATTTTTATGTGTCAAGAGGTCAAGACATTATTTCTAATTTAAAATTAAAATTTTATAATCACAAATTTTATATTATTTAACAAACAAATTTCATTTTATCCCTATTTAAATTTTGTTATTATAAAAGTTATTTTATTTTCTCTAAAATTTTTTTGCTATTAAAATTTCTTTTTTTTATTTTATTTAATTAACATTATTTAAACATATGATTTATAATTATCAATTTTTTTTAAATTTTAATCATCAATTAAATATTAATTATTTAATTAATATTAAATTATAATTAAATTTTTGTTAAATTTATTTTTTCTTTCTTTCACATATTACTAAGAATATAAATTTTTTTTAAAAATTGTAACGACTAATTTTTAATCAATTTTTTACAAAAATTTCAAGAAAATATTTGAATTCACTTTATTAGAGGAAAATTCAGTAGATAAAAATACCTTTAGTCAGACATTTGTATTAACGCCTCTGCATAGGCAAACAAACTTGCACACGTGTATATTTCTTTGCAATGAATTTAATTGAAATTAAATAAAAATTTTAAAAAAATTGTTTACCTAAAATTTGAAGTTTATGTTCTTTATTTATCCTGAAACGCATGCTTTTAAATTTTGAGGTTATATTCGCTATTTAGCACGTGATTTTGACCTAAATTTAACAAATTACATCCACATTCCAACCTGCGATATTTGACCTAAAATGTTAAATATTATACAATTGGCCTCTCTTCAACTTTCCATTTTTGACCTAAATTTTAAGTTCACATTTTCATTAAGTTATTTTTTCAAAACAAATTTAAAAAAAAATTTTTAATTCAAAAATTAAAAAAAAAAATTTAAGTTGATTTAAATTCACTTGTATTTCTTTTGTGCTTTTGACCTAAATTCTAACCCAAAATTTTTATCTTAGGTTAAGATTTTTTCTAAGATCAATATTTTTATCTTGACCTTTTAAATTTTAAGGATAAATAAATATATTCAATGACACTTGACCTAAATTTTTAAATTGTGGTTGTTTACATATAGGTCATTAACTTGAAATTTTAAGGCTTAAAGTCAGATTAATTTTTACTTTTGACCTAAAGTTTATAGATATGTAAAATTTGTCCAAAGTTATTAAATATTAAATTAGATTTCAGGTTAAATATTAACATTTGACCTAAATTAGGTTAAAATTTAACAATTAATCTAAATTAGGTTAAAAGTTAACAATTAACCTTAATTAGGTTCAAAATTAACATTTGATCTAAATTAGGTTCAAAATTAATAATTGACCTAAATTAGATTAAAAATTAACATTTGACCTAAACTAGGTTAAAAGTTAGCAATTGACCTAAATTATGTTAAAAATGATAATTTGGCCTAAATTAGATTAAAAATTAACATTTGACCTAAATTACATACAATTGACCATTCAAATTATGACCATCACATAAATTTTGACATTTGTCCTAAATTTATGTACGTTTATTTTTCTATAGTATATCTTTGACCTAAATATGAACATAAACTGTGAGTCTCAATCTGTAATTTTTTAAAGTTAAATATCTATGAGACTTGACCTAAATTTTTTAAGTTATGATCAACAATTCAAACAGGTCAATGACTTTCGCTTTTAGGTCAAAAATTAAAATTTGACCACAATTTTCGTGTATTTTTATTTTTGTACATTTGACCTGAATTCTAACCTAAAATATAAGTTTTGACCTGTAAAATATTACATTTTTAGGTTTATAAAATTTATATTTGACCTAAGGTTTAAAATTATGTTCGACACTTAAATTGTGACAGTTGACCTGAATTTACAAGTATTTTTCTATTATATTTGACCTATATTCTTACCTAAAGTAAGAATTTTGACAATATTCATTATTGAGCATAAATATCAATGCAATTTGACCCATAATTTTAAATTTATATTTCAAACAGGTCAATTAGGTTTGACAATTGACCACAATTTTAACGTGTTTCTTTTGTAAATTTGACCTGAATTCTAACCTATGATAAAATTTTGACCTTTAATTTTAACGGGTAAAAATAAAAACTGAAGTCCATTAATTTTACATGTATCTGTGAACGATCGTGAATTCAAAATTTAGGTCAAGTGTCTTATTTTTATCTTCGAAATTAAATTTTTAACTTAGGTCAATTTAGGTCAAAGGTATCAAAAAATATGATTTCAAAATTTACAATTTGACCTAAGTTTTGAAATTATGTTCTTTGACACGTTTGACCTTAGTTGACCTGAGTTTAAAATTATATTTCGAGGTTAACCTGAATTTTGAGGTTATGTCTGTATTCTCTTCAAATTTTTATATTTATTAATTTAATATATGCAAAAATATCTAAAGAAAATTCTAAAAAATTTAATAAGAAAGGAAGAAAATCAATTTTTTAAATTATAGTAAAGAGTTTAAATTATTTTTTATTTATAGAGAAAATCAAGAGCTCAACGTAGACGAGAGCGTAAGAGAGCGGAGAGACATCGTCAGATGAAGGAAGCGGAGGTTCAAGTCCTGCCAAGTGTTGCGGCACCAAAACGACCAACAAATGATATTTTACCATTAATGTCACTTCCACAACCATCATGGCTATCGAATACAAATAATAATATTTATAATAATAGCAATAATGGATTATTGGGTTCAAATCCTTTTGCATTGCTGGAAAATTTACAGCGAAGCGCCAATAATAATATGAATATTGTTCCGAAATCAATTGGACTCGAACCATGGAGTAGATTGTTACAATCGTCCCATTATATGCCCATGATTGTTTTTCCAACACAAACACCTGGACCTGGATACTGTAATAATAATAACAAGAATCATCAGACGAATTCAACTCATACTCCTGTGACTGGTGTTGTTCGAAAGGTAAGAAATAATGTTTTGATTTTTTGTTATTTTTAATATTTTTTACAAAATAACTAATTTTGATAAATTCAAAATGACGAATCGAATATGACGGATTTTTTTTTAAATTCATGATTTTTGGATAAAATAAAATTCATTTGACAAAAAATTTATTTAACATAATTTTCATCTGACAAAAATTCACACGACATGAATTTCAATTGACATAAAATTCGTTCAACATAACCGTTCATTTAACATAATATTCATTTGATATCAATTTTATTTGACATAAAATTCATTTGTCATAAATAAAAAGGCATAAAGGCATTTAACATAATTTTCATTTGACATAAAAATCATTTGACTCAAAATTCATTTAACATAAAGTTCCCTTAACGCACAAGCATTTTAGCATAATTTCCATTTTACGTAAAAATCACTTGGCATAAATTTCGTTTAACACACAACCAATTTAACATAATTTTCATTTGACATTAAATTAACTTGATATGAATTTCAATTCACATAAGTTCTATATGACTTAAAATTTATTTGACGTTTAACGTCAAATGTCATTTTACATAAAATACATTTGACATAATTTTCGTTTTATCTTAAAATTCATTTGTCATTAATTTAATTTGGCATTAATGTCACTTAACATAACTATCGCTTGCCATAAAATTTACTTGATACAAATCTTATTTGACATAAGAATCACTTGATATGAATTATATTTGACATTAATTACTTTTGACATAAATTCCATTTTATCTTAAAATTCATTTGTCATAAACTTTATTTAACATTAAATGTTACTTAACATTATTATCATTTGATATAAAATTCACTTGTCATAAATTCATTTGATATAAATTTCATTTAATATAAATTTATTTGACATAAATATCATTTGACATAAATTTCACTTGACATAAATTTCATTTTAACATAAAATTCATTTGTCATAAGTTTCATTTGACATAAATTTCATTTTAACATAAAATTCATTTTCAATAAGTTTCATTTGACATAAAATCTGTTTAATATAAAGTACATTTGACATTAAATTGATTTAACATAGAAATCATTTGACATACAATCAATTTAGCATGATTTCTATTTGTCATACAATCATTTTAGCATGATTTCCATTTGACATAAAAATTTTATTCTAAAATTCATTTGCCATTAATTTCATTTGACATTATTGTCACTTAACATAATTCTCATTTGACATTAATTTCATTTTATCCTAAAATTCATTTGTTATAAATTTCAATAAACATAAAATATGTTCAACATAAAGTACATTTGGCATAAAAATCATTTTGATTTTTTTAATTTGATATTAATGTCAATTAACATAATTCTCATTTGACATAAAATTCTTTTGTCATAAATGGCATTTTACATAAATTTCATTTAACATGATTTTCATTTTAACCTAAAATTCATTTGTCATAAATTTCATTTAACATAAAAATATGTTCAATATAAAGTACATTTGACATAAAATTCATTTGACATATATTTTATTTTATCCTAAAATTTATTTGGCATAAATTTCATTTGACATAAAATGCGTTCAACATAACATTCATTTGACATAAAATTCATTTATCAAAATTTTCATTTGACTCAAAATTCGTTTAACATAAATGTTACTTGACATAAAATTTATTTGACATAAATTTCGTTTTGACCTAAAATTTGATTATTCATATAAATATGTCATTTAACATAATTCTCATTTGACATAAAATTCACTTGATATAAATCTAATTTGACGTAAGAATCACTTGACATGAATTATATTTGACATAAAATTCATTTGACATAAACTTCATATGACATAAAATTAGCGCCGCTTATTTTAAAAGTAACCAATCAGATATTAACAAGAAAAGAAATGTTTAAATTTGATTAAAACTTATCAGCTGGATATTTTTAGGGTCTCTCATTCATTTTTCAAAATTCAAAATGGCGGATGCAATATGACGGAGAATTGATTAAAAATTGAGGAGACATATTGAAGAATAGTTGAGATTTGATAAAAACTTGTAACTCGGAAATTTTCAGAAAATTAAAAATAACAATTCCAAAATGACAGACATTTTTTTAAATCATTAGAATCACTTAATAATCGTTATTTTTTCAAAATTCAAAATGGCGGATCCAAGATGGCTGACAATTTAAAAAAATTATTGCATTTCTTTGAAACTTGGTATTCAGGCATTTTCAAAGTCGTTGATTCTGAATCCGTTATTAGATTTTGAATATTCAAAATGTCGGAAAATTTTTTAATTGAAAAATTATTGATAATATTTGAATTTGTCAAAATAAATAATTTTAAATGACATTTGTTTTAGGCTCCAAAAGTTAAAACAGAAGCCCGACGACTTCGAAGTCGATTGAGAGCAATGGAGCATCGCAGAAAAAAGGCGGCTAAAAAAGAAGCAGAAGAAGAATTGTCAATTGTTGTTAAAGGTGAAACAACTCTTTCTGAAAACGAGTTATCAATTGTTGTTCAAAATGAAACAACAAATTTAAATGATTCCGAGCTGTCAGTTGTTGTTAAAAATGAAACGACAAATTTAAATGATTCCGAGATGTCAATTGTTGTTCAAAATGAAAAAACAAATTTAAATGATTCCGAGCTGTCAGTTGTTGTTAAAAATGAAACAACAAATTTAAATGATTCCGAGATGTCAATTGTTGTTAACAGTGAAACAACAAATTTAAATGATTCCGAGATGTCAATTGTTGTTAACAGTGAAACAACAAATTTAAATGATTCCGAGATGTCAATTGTTGTTAACAGTGAAACAACAAATTTAACTGATTCCGAGTTGTCAGTTGTTGTTAAAAATGAAACAACAAATTTAACTGATTCCGAGGTGTCAATTGTTGTTAAAAATGAAGCAACAACAACTTTATCTGATTCCGAGGAGAAAGAGAAGAAAAAAGAAGAACCATTGAAATTGATTTCAAAACAAGTGTCAAAAAATAAACCATCGCCAATAATTAAAAATCCTTTATGGAAACCCATACAACCAAAGTTAGAAATACGTAATGATAGTGATCACGTGCCAATATATCATCAATTACCATATCGTGTGATTGATACCAATCGCTGTCATGTACGCGTTCAAGTACGCCTTCGAAATGTATAATTTTTAGTAGATTTTTTAGAAAAAAGGAAAAATTAAAACGACAAAAAATTATTTAATTTTTTTTGCAAATTTTCATAGTATATTTCTGAAGAATGATTCAACTTTTTGAGAATAACTTCTGATATATGTTAAGACGAAATATAATAATTTTATATAATATGTTATTTATTTAACATGTTAGATAATAAGAAAAAAAATTGTAATATTGAAAATGGAAATGGAATTTAGTTTTAAAAAAATTTTAAGAGATTAATTTTAATGTATGATTTAGACAAAATAGATTTTTTTTATTTGCATGATAGTTTGTAATCTATTTGAATTAGAAAATCAGATTTATTAATAGTTTTCTAATGTTGGAAATTTTTATAATTTTCTAAAAATAAAAACAAGTGTAAAATAGGTGTGTGTGTGAAATAAAAAATTGTATAGAAACTGTACTTGAATTTTTTCCCCATAAAAATCTTAAGTTTAATTTTTCCATAATCTATTTTTTCTTTCTCGAAATCTTTTTAAAAATTTTTATTGCAAAAATAAAAATATGATTATCAAAAAAAGTTAATTTAAAAATTTTTCGAATTATAAATTTTATGAAGAAATATTTTTGAATAATTTAAACAATTAAAAAATTGAATATTTTTCATTATTAAATTCAGGAATTAAATATTTTTAATTGTAAATTTAAAAAATAAAAATTTTTATTTGTAATTTTAAAATTCTTAATTTTAAATTAGAATTTTAATTTTTTTAACCTAACATTTAAATTAAAATATTAACAATTTTTAAATCACAAATTGTAAATTTTTAATTTTCAATTAACAATTTCTAAATTATAATTCAAAATTTTTTGATACATTTACATTAGAATTAAAAAATTTTAAATCACAATTGAAAATTTTTAAATTAAAATTAACAATTTTCAAACTACAATTAAAATTTTTTATCTATAAATTAAAAAGTTTTTAATTTTTATTCCAAATTTACAATTTTTAAATTACAATTAGCAATTTTTTAGAATTAAATTAAAATTTCCAAATTAGAAATTTTGATTTTCAATATAAAATTCAGTTTTTAAAAATTTTAATTAAAAAAATACATTTAAAATTAAATAAATATAAAAATAAATAAATATAAATATAAAATAAATTAAATTTTAATTAAAGTTACATTTAAATTAAAATTAACAAATTTTAAATCACATAATTTAAAAATTTTAATTTAAAATTGACATTTGTACTTCAAAATTGATTGATTTTAAATTAAAAATTAAAAATTAAAAATTTTCAGCTGTGATTTAAAATTTGTTAATTTTAATTTATAAAAAAATTTTAATTGTAATTTGAAAATTGTTAATTTAAAATTAAAAATTTGCAATATTGTGATTTATGTTAATTTTAATTTAAATGTAAAAAATTGTTAATTATAATTTAAAAACTGGTCAATTTTATATTAAAAATCAAAATTTTTTATTTGGAAATTTTAATATAATTATAAAAAATTGTATGTTTGAAATTAAAAATTAAAAATTTTCTATTGCGATAATGTAATTTGTTAATTTAATTTAATTGTAAAAAATTGTTCTTTGTAATTTAAAAATTGTAATTTTAATTTAAAAATTAAAAAGTGGTAATTTTGCTTAAAACATTAAAAATTGGCAATTTTATTAAAAATTTTAAATTAATTTCAATATTTAAAAATGAAAAAAATGTTAACCTTATTACTGTAAAATTACGTTTCTTTAAATTAGTTAATAAATTCATCTTGAAAAATATAAATGAAAAAATAAAAATAAGAGCAAAAAAGAATTTTCAAATATTATCTAAGAATAAAAAAAAAAAATTATCCTAAAAATAATGTTTAAAAAAGAATGTGTTAAATTTTGTTTGCCTAACAAGAATGCAAAATTTTTTTTTTTTTTTGTAATATTTCAAGCACCACATTTTCATATACCTTTCGCAATCTTTGAAATAAGGTGTTGTAAGCTGTCAAAGAATAATTGAGTTTTAAGATGAATAATGAGTTAGTTCGTTTACCTACTTTTGAAAATAAAAATAGAAAAAATGAGGAAAAGACTTCGCAAGCAAAAATCTTTCAGAAAATTGAAATTTATGGTAAACTGCGCAAAAAATTGAGTAAAAAGAAATTTAATCAAATTTTCTAATTATTAATTAATCTATTAATTATTAAATTAATAAGCAAACATAATTTATAAGACAAATATTGATTATATAATTTTATGCAAATTTAATTCCAATCTGTTCATTGACTGTAAACTTATTAAATATTTCGTATTTTGTAATTCTGTTTGAAATAAGTTAATAATATTTTAATATTATTTTTTATTGATTAATAACATTTTTTCATAATATTATTAATTAATAAATATTATTTTTTAATACTAAATTAAAATTATTATTCAAAAATTTTTTATATACTTTATTATTAATTCAATATTTTTGGAAGACATAGTTAATATAAAATTAAGAAAAAGAAGAAAGAGAAAAAAATATCTAAATTGAAAATTAAATAATTTATTATTTTGAGTGCGAAAAAAAAATTGAAATTAATAATTATGTCTCCATGTGCCATATATATATATACACTAGCTCAAGAGCGTTATAATGACGATTCTCTCTCTTTGACTTGTTCTTCTACGATCTATGAATATCCTGAGTCGGAAAAAAGAAAAGTACAGCCAAATGGGGTCTCAGGGACCCCACTACCAAGAAGATCACAGCTGTTCATTTTGGTGGGGTAATTCTCATGAGAAGACGTTGGATATTTTCATCTCAAATAGTATAACACGTGCTCTCTTACCGCGTACACTCGCGATTTTCTCCAAAACATTTTTCTTCTTTTAAATACAATCAAAAATAAAAATCTCATTTTTTGACATTCCTTTTAATTAAAAAAATTTTTTTTTTTTAATTTGTTACTAAATCTTTTTTATTTGTGGAAAAATTATTTTTAATTATTATTTTTCTTTCTCTTTTTTTTTTTTTGAATGAACGGAAATATTTGAATTTCGCGCGAAATTTCGAAATTTTTTCGGTTGTAAATATTGAAAAATTATTTATATGAAAGTTGTTTCCGCAGTGAAATTATTTACATGAGTGAAAAATAGTAAACAATTTTTATTTCTGTAAATATAGAAAAATTACATTTTTTTCTCGAATAGTGATAATGAGAAATGTTTAAAAATTTATCTATTTATAAATTTTCAATTAAAAAAATGACAATTATTATTATTTTTTTATTAATTTTTGAAGCCAAGTGTGTTTTTTCGGCTCTTTTTCGACATTCGAGGAGAATGTGTGAATCGTTCTAAAAATACGAGTGTATATACAAACGACGAGTGTTTCTGTAATATGAAACTGAAACTCACCTAAAAATCAGAAAGAGAGAAAAGAGAGAGAGAGAGAAAGAGCGAAAGAAAGCATTAATGATATATCAAATGATGAAACAAAAAAAATGCTATTCAGGTTTTTGAAATAAAAATAGGATGCGCGAGAATTGTGTTTCGCATTTTTTCCCTGTGTTATCTATACTATCAAGTTTAAAAAGCTGAATTACAAAGGCTTTTGTTTTATTTTATTGTAAAAAAATATTAAGCAACCAGCAGTGTCAGTTTTACAAAATATTTAAAAAATTAAAAAATGTTTTACAAAAAAAATTTTTATTTTTTTTCTTAAATAATTAAATTATTTACCTATTATTATATTTCATAACTCATTAAATTGAAGATTTATTATTTAATTTGACAATTTTTAACAATTATTTAGTAATAATAATGATAATTAATAATTAGTGGTGAAAAATAAATAATTAGCAATTAGTAATTTAATAACTAGTAATTAGCAATTTAATAACCAGGAATTAACAAAAATTATTATTATTATTATTATTAATATTAACCAGTATTTAATAATTAATTATTAATTAGTAATTAATTACCTTAGTAATTAAAAAGTAATTAGTAAATTTGAATTAGAAATTAACAGTTGATGACTAGTAATTAATTTTAAATAATTGTTAATTTAATATAGTTAGTATTAATTATTAACTTATTATCGAGTTTGTTAATAATTGTTATTAATATTTTTACTATTAAAATTTATTAAAATTATTGATAGAAAATTAAATTCTTTCAAACAATTTTATTAGAATTTTGTAAATGATTAAATTCTTATGAAGAATTTCTTAAAATTTTTATGAAAATAATGTAGTTTTTTGAATAATTTTAAATGAAAATTTTGAAAATAATTGAATGAAACAAAGAATTTTTTTTAACTTTATAAAAAATAATCGTGTCTGTTAATAATTATAATAAAATATTTGATTATTAAAGTTTATTGAATTTGTATTGAAAATAATTAAATTCCTGGGAAGAATTTTATTACTTATTAATAATAATTGAATTGTTTCGAAGGATTTATTAAAAATTTTTTAAATAATTGGATTCTTTCCAAATTTTTAAAAAAAATTGAATTGTTTCGAAAAATTTATTAAAATTTTAGAAAATATTGAATTTTTTCGAAAAATGTTATTAAAAATTTTTTAAAAATTAAATTATTTTGAAGGATTTATTAACATTTTAGAAAATAATTGAATTCTTTTGAAAAATTTTATAACGAATTAAGAAAAAAATTGAATTCTTTGGTGTAAATTTTATTGAAAATAATTGAATTTTTGCAAAGATTTTACTAATTATAAAAATAATTGAATCGAAGGATTTATTAAAATTTTAGAAAATAACTGAATTGTTTCGTGTAAATTTTTTTGAAAATAATTGAATTTCTGCAAGATTTTATTATTTATGAAAATAATTGAATTTCTGCAAGATTTTATTATTTATGAAAATAATTGCATTGTTTCGAAGAATTTATTAAAATTTTAGAAAAAAATTGATTTCTATTGACAAAATTTTATAATGAATTAAAAAAAAAATTAAATCCTTACGTGAAATTTTATTGAAAATAATTGAATTTTTGCAAAGATTTTACTATTTATAAAAATAATTGAATCGAAGGAATTATTAAAATTTTAGAAAATAATTGAATTCTTTCGTGAAATTCTATTAATGTTTTGATGAAGATAATTAAATTTTTGCTAAAAATTTTACTATTTATTAATAAAAATAATTGAATTATTGTGAAGAATTATTTAACAAAATTTCCAAAGTATAAACAATTATAATTAATTAGGTACTCTATAAGTGTACCTATCTTTAAAAGTTTGATTATGAAATTATTCAAAAATTCATGTTTGAAATTAAAAAAATTTGTAATTTGCATAATAATTATAAATTGAATATCACGTTCCGCGCGTAACATTTGCTGGTTAATAATAATTAATAATTTAATAATCAAAATTGACAAATGGTTAAGTTCTTAATTAGTAATAAATAATTAAATAGTTTATTTATTGAACATTTTATTTATTAATAAATTTTGTTAAATTTGTAATTCTATAATAATAATTAATATTTATGATAATAAATAGATAGTGAGTGTAAACAATAATTGAAAAAAATTAATAAAAATAAACAAAAAAGCAAACAATAGTAGTGAAAATTCTGCAACAATAGACTACAGTGCCAATGAATTTGTTAGTGATTAAAATTAAGAGGATGAAGAAATGGCCAACATAAAAGTAGCTGTACGTGTCAGGCCGATATCAGAACGGTAATATATATATTTTTTTTGCATAAACTTTGGTTTAAATTCAGAAAAAAAATTTCTGCTTCCTAATTCTGTTAAGTTTGACAAAAAAAAATTTTTATTTATGGAATTTTGTATAGTAAATTATTTTTTCACTTTCGGAGTCGCTAATCACGACTCTCTGTCCTGATTTTGAAAATCTAATATGGCGGATCCAATATGGCGAACGACTTTTTTAAATTCTCAAATTCACTTGAATCATATAAGTAGGGATTTTTTTTCACAATTTTATGTATTCGAAATACTTTACAATTGAATTAAAAAATATATTCAACTTTTAACAAGCGCAATAATAAAAAATAATTAATTAAGTAATAAAAGTCTTGGACTTATTACTTAAATTATATATGGCTTTTAAAAAAGTTCTTTTATCATAATAATTAATTAAATTTTATAAATTTTAATTTTTTTTAAAAAGTAAAAAAATTGTTAATTATGATTATTATTATTTAGCAAGAAGTGGTTATTGTTGATAATAAAAATGTAAATAAATAGACTTGATATTTCTGTTGTGTCGGGAGTTAAAATTAAAATATAATAAATAACATTATAGTCGGCTGTTTACTTGCATGAAGAGCTATTTATATATATAGCTAAGAAGGGTGGAAGTGAAATAGAAACAAAACGCCATCAAGAAGGATGTGACAGTCTTATACACGCATAAAGCAGGGTCACCGGAAGTTCATGTCACTAAGAGAAAAAAAAATTCACGAAAACAATTTTTGCAAATTAAAATATACGAAAAAGTCTTTCCCAATTTTTTTTTTCAATTTTAAAATTGAAAATATTCAAAATAATAATATTTTATTTAACATTTACCAAATTTATAATTTTTTAAAATTTGTTTTCTTTTATTCTTGCTTTTAATTAAATTCCAAAAAATTACGTAATAGTTTATTTTATCGTTGATTAATTTTTGGAACATATCTGCCAAAAAATATTATTTCTATTTAATTAAAGTAATTTTGATTTTGAATTTAATGAGTCAAGTGAAAGATCAAACGAGAGACTCGTAACATTTGGCTTCAACGATATTTTCTAGTGGCTAAATAGGGCACAGACAAGGCGTATAAATACTGCTAAATAGAGAATCACGAATAAATTTCTAACCATCTCTCGAAACATTGGAATAAAATTTTATTTTCAAATTTTCAATTTTGTTTTATTGATGAAAAATATTTTTGCAAATTCAATTCTGCAGTAAAATATTAGTGCAATTATTTTTTTAATTTCTAAATTTTTACCTTCTGTTTTTTTGGATTTTTAAAATTTGTTGTCAGATTCGCAATTACTGATCTCAAAAAAACACCCCGAGTGACGAGATTAAAAAAATCAATGATTTCTATAATAGTTCGCCGTATTGGATCCGCCATTTTGAATTTTCAAAGTATAACATCAAATTCGTAATGAACGACTCCAAAAATCCGCGAATAATATATTTTAACCAAATTTAAATAATTTTTAAATACTTGTTCTCAATTTTAAGTAAAATAATAAGTACCTATTAATCAAATTTGAAATTGTTTTAAACATTTGTCCTGAACCCTCAACTAAATCGTCAGCCATCTTCTAACCGCCATTTTGAATTTTGAAAAACTAATTGCTTTGAATTTATTATTTTATTTTAGTGAATTGAATTTCACTGGATCAAAAATTGTCGTTCGTGCGCAATCGAATGAAATATCGTTGACGAATTTAAAGGTTTCATCATGGAAAACTGGCGATAGTCGAGAGCGCATTAAAACTTATGGCTTTGATTATTGTTTTGATTCATCCAATTCGGAAACAGAGAATTATGCAACACAAGCGAAAATTTATGAAACCCTTGGAGAATCGGTACTCGATTCTGTCTTTACCGGATATAATGCTTGTCTGGTGGCTTATGGTCAAAGCTCGACGGGCAAAACATATACAATGATGGGTAGCAAGGTACAACATTTCATTTAAACAACCATAAAAAATAATTAGCAAAAAAAATTAATTTACAATAATTAATTTAAAAAAATTAATTTACAATAATTAATTTAAAACAATTAATTTAAAATAATTAATTTAAAAAAACAATACAAATTATTTTTTCTACAGGATGATCCTGGACTAACTCCAAGATTATGCAAAGGAATTTTCACTCGTATCACTCAAGAAGAGGATAATGCCAAGACCTATCAAGTTTTCGTGAGGTAAGTCATATTTTGTATTTAACAATTTTTCCTATCTCGAGACAAAACAATTTCTTTTGTTTCATATCTATGGAAAAGTTTCCATTTTATGGATCAAAATTGAGACTTTGTTTGAAATTGAATAGCATGCAGTGAGGAGATAAAGATTAGGAAAAAATATTGAAAAATAATAGAGAACATATTCAAAACGTCAATTTTTTAGTTGTAATGGTGAAAAAACGTTTATTTTTTTCGTGACTGGTGTGAGTTTAGAGTGCAAAAAGAAAATTATTCCTGGAAGAAATTTTGAAATTATATGATTCGCATTTTCGAAAAAATATCTCATTTATATTGTCTGTTGAGAAAATTACAACTGATAATATAGTGTAAAATTAGTAAACATATTTATGTTTCCGGAGCTTAGAATGATAATTAGACTTAATTTACTTTTTGTGTTATTTACGGGGACGAAGAAAACTAGAATGATTAGATTTTGAATGATAAGAAGTTGTGAAGGTTGAAGGCGATATTAGGCGAGGTTGTTTTGTATGTGAAAATAAAATTCTGATTCGGAATTAATTTTTATTAATTAGAGACACTCGACGGATTTTAAGGAGAGAAATGTCTGTAAAACCTTCGCTTGACTTCTAGAAACATTCCGATGGAATTTATGTTGTAATTAGTTTTGAAAAATTAGGAGAGAATGTTTTGAACTTCGACGGAATTTTTACTAAAATTTGTTCGTTAAAAGTCTGCAGATTGTTTTAGTTGAAAAGTCTTATTACACTTGTATTTAGAGAGGATGAGTATCTCTACTAAATAGGTTGTATTTCGAGTGGTATACTAAATTAGCCCAGTATTTAACCACAAATAAATTTTTGTTAATCTTACCTAATACTGCTTCCTGAGATGCTGCGTCCATGAACCTTGTAATATTGAAGTCCTTCTTCCTTGAAGATACTACGTCTAATAATCTGTTTAGAAGATGTTATCTCCTAAAGGAGTTTTATAAGAAATTCGAGTGGTATACTATTTTAGCCCAGTATTCAACCACAAATAAATTTTTGTTAATCTTACCTAATACTGCTTCCTGAGGTGCTGCGTCCATGAACTTTGTAATATTGAAGTCCTTCTTCCTTGAAGATGCTACGTCTAATAATCTGCTTAGGAGATGTTATCACCTAAAAGAGTTTTGTAAGTATTTCGAGTTGTATACTATTTTAGCCCAGTATTCAACCACAAATAACTTTTTGTTACTCACCTAATACTGCATTCTGAAGTGCTGTATTTATGGAACCTTGGTATTCTACTGAACGACTTCCCAAACCCACATTGTCAATACTTCGAATCATGTTGGTGAAATGCGACAGGAAAATCTTTTTTTCAGTGACACCTTTAATTAATATCAATGGGACCCCTTTTTATAGACAGCAGTTCTATCTAAAACTTAAGGAATGATTTTTCGTCCAAGATTAAAAATTTTTCTCAATTCGTGGTGATTTACAAAAGTTAGCTCAGTATTCAACCACAAATAACTATTTGTTAAACTTACCCAATACTGCATCCAGACGTACTGTATCCATGAAAGTCCTCCTTCCTTGCAGGTACTATCTTTAATAATCTGTTTAGAAGATTCCTCCTCTAGTTTCAATGGCGTCTTCTTGAAATCCTTTTCTCAATCCCTTTTCCTTAGTGTGTCAGTCTAAGCAATAAAGTCAAAGAATTTTATCGTAATTTATTAACATAATTGAAAAGATAATGCGGTAAACTTTTTTGGGAATATTTAACTAATGGTAAATATTGTGTCACGGTTAACATATTAATGAGATTTGAAAGAGGATGTTTGTAGTAAAATGGCAGAACAGGTACACTAACTTAGCCCAGTATTCAACCACAAATAAATATTTGTTAATCTTACTTAATACTGCTTCCTGAGATGCTGCGTCCATGGAACCTATTGATTTCCTTCCTTGAAGATGCTACTTCTAATAATCTATTTAGGAGATGTTAACTCCTAAAGGAGAATTTTAAGTATTTGTAGTGGTGTACTAATTTAGCCCAGTATTTATCCACAAATAACTCTATTTGCTAATCTTACCTAATGCTGTATCTTAAGGTGCTGTGTCCTGAAAACTGTGTATCATTATTCCATTCCCGATGAGGAGTAATCGAAATCAGTATGAATGTAATTAACTGCTTCTCCTTTTCATTGTCCATCAGTTTTCTTCTCTTTAAAAATTGTCTATCCTGTAGGGAAAATGTAAGTAGCTGGAAAAGGAAGTAGTTTGTAGCTGCAAAGGAAGTCCATGCTAACAGAGGGATTTTTCCTTTTGTGTTCCGAATCTGGAATTAGAGAGTTCTCATCCAAAATCAAAAAGCTACTAACAACTATCCGATCCTTATTGATATGGGTATATGAGTTTCCTATCTCCATGGCGGAGAAATTTAGGATTTTATATTTTAATTTACAATATCTCAATATTCTGTATTTAATTTCCCATTACAATACAGTTGTTTTTGTATGAAAGCTTAACTCGTTACTATTTAATCCAATTTAATTGTAACAGGAAATATAAGATTCATCCGCAAAAAATGAATATTTTTGAAATACAAAATGTTTAAATAATATAGTGTTCTTTTACAAAATTAACGAGGATGTAACGGAGAACATCATGGAAATTCCATGCGATAATACTGAAATATAGTATTTCCGCAAAATATTTTCACGCAGTTGGAATATATATATAAAGAGGAAGGGAGGAAATCCAATATCAATTATTGTCCATAGAATATAGAGAAACATTCAAACAACTAGCCAGACAGAGACGAGGTTACTGTCTGATTTGATAACTGTGGGAAAGCCAACACGTTGGCCTGCGCTTGTAGTTGAGATATTTGCTATATAGTAACACACAGCTGACGTTCCCAATCATTGGAAACTATTTTATGCGCGCCCACCAAGGGCTTCAAATCTCTGGTTTTGGATTTCAACTTCGAACTATAGATAGGATGCTTCGTGCTGTCACATATATTTCGAATCGAATACCACTGCAATTTTCAATCCATCAATGATTTCGCGCTATTTAAGTGGCGATCAGGACCGGCCTCTGGAGAAAAGAATCGTGCAAGCACCAGATATCGACTCGTGTCGCCGTGACCTGAAATATAAGAATTGCTTTTAAATCTCAATTTCTGATAAAAAAAAATAGGGGGGAACTATAGTTTTAAGGTTTCTTGTAATACTGTTTTTTGTTCTTCTACCTTTTTTTATTGCTTAGTGTATGGGATCTGTTTTTTATATTTCAATCTTTTTGAATTGGACTTTGTTAGACTTTGTTATATTGAAAAAACAAAATAATGAAGAAAATTAATTATAAAAGATATGGGATCTTTAATAAAATTGTTTACATCTAATGTATTTGGAGGATAAAACCGTTAACTGTTAAGCCTAGAAGTGCCTCGAAGCTGTATGGTCACAAACCTAACAGATATTATTATAAAGACGCTGGCAAAGAACATAAAAACGTACAATCTTTAGGATCATCTGAAAAGAACATCAGAGGTCAGTATCGTCAAATGACTTCCAAATAAGGAGGGCGTCAAGTTTTTAAAGGTTACGAAACACCAGCGGAGGATGGAGCACTAGGTAAACGGAAGAATATTCTTAGAGTTTATTTGTGGTTGAATACTGGACTAATTTAATGGAAACAAGAAGTTTTACTGATGCTCAAGAGTGCACGATTTGCAAAGCTACTTAAATTTTTCAATACCACAAATCATTTTTGAAAAATTCGATTCAAGTAAAAGGTGTATCAGGTTTATCATCTTGAGTCCAGTCAGTAGTATTTTAAAAATTTCCATTAATGAATATAAATAAGTATAATTTTGAAACGACCTCCAATTAAAGATTCTGGTAACAAATTAAAAATAATATAAAGCAAAGATGAAGAAAAGTCCTCTTCAGGTAACATCGTTTACATAATGTGAACTATAAAAAATTATTGTTTCACTGTGTGGAGGGTGGTGAGAATGGAAACTTAGGGTTTGAGTTTGTAAGCTTTATGAAACTATATGTTGCCTTGAATGTGTCTTAAGCGTCAGTGCCTCGTGACTCGCATTCCTAGGTGGTCGTAAAAAACGTATCGCAATTAGAAACTAAGATTCTTCCTTTTAGTTCGTTTAATTTTGTGATGTTTCTCTTATTGTTATACTATGTTCTAGTGCAGTCTTTTTAGTTTGAAAACTTTTTTTTACTACTTTTTTTCTGGTTTTGTGCGACATTATTTTTTATGTCATTTTTCATGTCCACTTTCAGTGTGAGTTTTAAAATATTTAATTACCTATGATAATTGCATTGAAATAATTTCAATTCTCTAAGGATTTTTTATTCTTTTAATAATTTGTGAGATAAATCGGTTTATTAAATACTTTTGAGGAATATTTGTCATTATTTTTGCAACTGTTATGCTTGGAAGAATTAACAACAAATTATCTCCTTCACATGTAATCAAAATTGTAAGGATACCTCTAATTTTTACACAAAAAATAAGTATTATCTTAAAAGCACGACAATCTTAAAAGTATTTAATATTAAAATTAAAAATATTAATAAATTAAATATTAAGTTAATATTAACAATTACTATTTTGGAATTAAACGGAAATGAGTGTAAGTGTATGAAACTGATACTTTTTTAAAGTGGAAGTGTAATTATTCGGCCTTGTTAATTTTAGGGGTGGAAACTTTTTTTTCACAATAAGCTCCTGATAACCTCAGATCTGTACTTTTACAGTTTTTATTCTAGTTTTATCGAACTATAATGTGTTATCAAGGTCATCATTCTGGAGGAAAAAAGTAACCTGCGACGTCAATATTTCATAAAATTTTGTAAGGCTACGGTAATTGAGGATAATCGCAATAAAAGCAAAAAATAAAATTTGAATTTTAAACAATTAAAATTAGAATTAAAATACATTTTCTTATTTTTGACGGTATAATAAATGTTTTTATAAAATATCAAG